GCTAATACTACTGCTACTACTACAGCTAATACTACTAGTAATACTACAGCTAATACTACTACTATTACTACTACTACTACTACTACTACTACTACTACTACTACTACTACTACTACTACTACTACTACTACAGCTAATTCTACTACTACTACTACTACTACTACTACTACTACTACTACTACTACTACTACTACTACTACTACTACTACTACTACAGGTAATACTACTACTACTACAGCTACTACTACTACTACTACTACTACTACAACTACTACTACAGCTAATACTACTACTACTGCTACAGCTAATAATACTACTACTACACCTAATACAACTACTACTACTACTACAGCTAATACTACTATTACTAATACAACTACTACTACTACTACAGCTAATACTACTATTACTAATACAACTACTACTACTACAGCTAATACTACTATTACTAATACAACAACTACTACTACAGCTAATACTACTATTACTAATACAACAACTACTACTACAGCTAATACTACTATTACTAATACAACAACAACTACTACTACAGTTAATACTACTATTACTAATACAACAACTACTACTACAGCTAATACTACTATTACTAATAACAAACAACTACTACTACAGCTAATACTACTATTACTAATACAACAACTACTACTACTACTACAGCTAATACTACTATTACTAATACAACAACTACTACTACAGCTAATACTACTATTACTAATACAACAACTACTACTACAGCTAATACTACTATTACTAATACAACAACTACTACTACAGCTAATACTACTATTACTAATACAACAACTACTACTACAGCTAATACTACTATTACTAATACAACAACTACTACTACAGCTAATACTACTATTACTAATACAACAACTACTACTACAGCTAATACTACTATTACTAATACAACAACTACTACTACAGCTAATACTACTATTACTAATACAACAACTACTACTACAGCTAATACTACTATTACTAATACAACTACTACTACTACAGTTAATACTACTATTACTAATACAACTACTACTACTACAGCTAACACTACTATTACTAATACAACTACTACTACTACAGCTAATACTACTACTACTACTACTACTACTACTACTACTACTACTACTACTACTACTACTACTACTACTGCAACCAGCATGGACCCAGATTAAGACCGGCCCAACCCATAAATAAAGTACTGGAAGACATGGACAAACCAAGATGGACTCTCAATAGGACATTAAGACAATATATTCAATTATAATACTAGTACTGATTGGACCCTAAAAGATAGATAAGACAAATATCTGACACGGACCACAAGAGAATTGCCTCTTCACACATACCACAATTACAACCTAAACTTGGAGGACGGACAGACACAAGAGACACCAGCTCAAACCATAGGACCAATTAAAACAACGGACCCTACCTGCCGATAACCTCTGTTATATGACAGTAGTCTTAACTAAGAGTTTTGGGGAGAAGCTTTGTCAGTTTGTAATGAAATCCACAAAATGACCTAATATTAATTTGGCTTCCTGCATCTTTTGGGTAATTGTTGGCTCGAATAATTTGTCACTAATGGCCTCGTCGATTATAATACGAGATGAAGATTTTAAGAGAAAAAAAAACAATTTGTTTTATTAACAATGCAGTGTTAAATCTATGTCTACAGCTTTTCAAAGGTGAATTTCAACAGAACCTCATATTGTTTGTGAACCACTATCAATTCGCTTTAATTTGAGACATATCTAATCTCTGAGATTAGATGAGACATCTAATCTCGCTAGTGTGCTTTCGAGATTCAGGTGCAACATCTCACCTTTGAAGTTGGATTAAACATAAGACCCGCTAGTGTGAGCTTGGGAGTCAGATGCAACATCTCATCTTTGAGGTTAGATGAAACATAAGACCTGCTAGTGTGAGCTAGGGAGTCAGGTGCAACATCTTATCTTTGAAGTTAGATGAAAAGTAAGACCTGCTAATGTGAGCTTGGGAGTCAGGTGCAACATTTCATCTTTGAGGTTAGATGAAACATAAGACCTGCTAGTGTGAGCTTGGGAGTCAGGTGCAACAAATTGATACTGCCCTGCAAACTATTCAGACATCTCTCGGATTTGGGCAAAGCTTCACAATTCATGGGTGATTTGAAAGGACATGCAATTCCTGGCAGTTTCTTCCTGCTGTACGGGCTATGGTGGGCGACTGGCTGTCTTCGAAGACATCTGACGTGTCACAAGAATGGAAATAGGTACACATCTAGTGCCACATATCCCCTGGACTGCTTTCAAGGCAGAGTCGGTCGTCTTCCATTGGAAGGGTTCGTGAAGGTGATCCTGTCTGCTGGTGGGATGTTGGGAGAGCTCCTGGCCCACCTGCCCGTTCCGCCGGTGGGAATAGGTAAGTGTACATAACACACTGGACATTATTTGACAAAAATATATCACTTTTCTATTACATCATAAACATTATTAAATGCTTTACCGACTGGGGGTGGATCATGCTGTACCTCGGACGATCTCTAGCATACTGTAGCAATCTGTGCAAAATATTCTCTCCTTGTCCTCCTTTGACTTTCCATGAAACTTTCCAGTTGTCACAAGAGTGTCCAGCTCTTACCTTCTCCTAACGTAGCTAACACATGATGGCTGTTTAGGTCCTTGCCCCCAGTGTTGGACTGCCGTTTACACTTGGCTTCAATCAATCCATCGGGTGTCGTCTCCACAGTGATGTTTGGCTGCATTGGATCGACAACAAGTTCTGTCTCTTATCCTGGTTGTACACCCTCTCACACTGCTGCCCGTCCATCTATTGATGTTATCCGTATCCCGCCTCTTGCTCTCTTGCCTTTAACCTTTCCCTCCAGTATGGTTTTTAAAAGCGTGCTATATCTTTTAATGTGACCAAAATATTTCAATTTTCCTTTTTTTTTTTTTCTTTCAGTACTCTTTCCATCTGTAGTCTTACCAGAACTTCTGTATTGTACTGTTTTTGTTTCCATGAAATACGACCTATTCTTCTGTATACCCACATCTCCAGAGACTCATTTGGATTGTCTAGTTGCTTGAAGCCGTTACGAGTTCCCTACATATAACTCCTTTTCATGTTCAGCAGGATAAATGGGTGATCTGCCTTTATAATCTACCATCTACAATGAGATTTTTAAATGTTAGTGCTTTATAGTTAACCTTTTGGTAGCATCCCAGAGGGGACAAAACTATCAATGATTGACTGTTTTCTTCCTCCCCCCCCCCCTTTGTGTTTGTGATAAGCTGTCTGGAGAAGCGACTGGTCAAGTAGTCAGGGCACTGGTCTGTCATGCGTGTGACCTGGATTCGATCTTAGACAGGGGATAGAGACGTCTTTCTGTTGGGGAGGGGGAAGGGGGGGGGAACATAAAAAGCCAAACCCGCACAGTTGGTGGCGACAGCACTAACTACGCAGCCTTAAATCCTTAGAGTCATGACACCACCACCACCCCCCCCCCCCCCCCCACCTTTTTAAAGACATCGCCCCAGAAGTGGAAACAACAAACAGTTTAGAAAGTAATGAACTGTGACAGTACAAAGGAAAGACAGAATATGAAAACACGAAATCAGACGAATACTAGGAAAATAGTCAGTCCTACAGCCCATCAAAGAACAACAAGTGAAGTGGTCTGGGCACCTAACAAGAATGCCCTGGTACTATCTGCCACAGCGAGCCACATTGAAACGTTACAACTGGTATAGTGCGAGATGAAGACCTCGGAAAACATAGAGCGATAGCATAAAGAACAGCTTTACTGAAATGAACATCAATCCTGATGACAGAGCTTATCAACAAAGGTCACATCTCTCCCCCCCCCCCCCCCCCCCCCCCCGCTTCCTAAAAGGAATTTCAATATACTCTATTAAAGCCAAAGTACGCACATAAATTTCAGGCAGACCCTTTTTCCCAACGATTATTTGTAACAGCAAATAGTTCAGTTCCCGGCACTCTACTTTTCATCTTAACATAAACTACCACCAAAACGGCCATGTTCTGAGCATGTCAGTCAACCCTCACCGCTCCCAGAGGCACATAAGGCAGATATATTTATGTTTGTCTATGTTTCTGTAGGGGTTATACTCTTTTTTTTTTTACAGTGTGAGAGTTGCTGGCCCACACGTCCAATCCCACTTAATCGCCTCTTACAATATGCTGAGGGGATGCAGGGGTCCTATTCTTGATGACATCGGGCACCAAACGATGATCTGAGCATTTATTATATTAGTATGTTTAAGAATCCTGAACCTAGACTGTTGCCCCCCCCCCCCCCCCCGCCCCACAAATATAGTTGTCTATACACTTGTTTCTCATCATGCTTACAACCGCGGCGCACTAAACAGATGGCAGTAGTTTCGCGGCCCACCTGGCAGCTAACTAAACACAGAAAACACAAATGTAGACAATGAATCTATAGTAGTAGGTAATCATCATTCCCTGGAGATTATGGGGTTGTTGCGCTGGTCTTGGGAGCATCATCTGCTTTGACTGAAAAGTCTAATGCAGGAGTGACTGTTTGTGCCACATAATCCACATAAAAACGTTGTATATCGTTCCTGTATCGTTTGTTAATCCAGTTTCGTCCTTTTTAGGATGAATTTTTTTTTTTTTTGAAGCCCCACCCTGGTTTTTGCCAGGGGCCGCAATATAGGAAGGCCCTAAATATGGCCAATTGTCTGAACGCGGTTTCTGGGACCTCTCCACGGTGATCCTCATCCACATGGTGGCACGTTGTGTCATCGGGTGTTTATCGCTTGTGTGGTGTCCTGGTGGGGTAGAAAGTCAGTCAGTCAGTCGGTTCCTGTATCGTTCATGATTGTATCAAAACAACTTTATTTGTATACTGGACGGCCTCCGTTAGTGTATCTACACAAGTTGCTACCGAGAAATCCTGCATACATGTATTTCAACTAGCTGTCTTCTTATTCTTCTTGTTCAAACAGTTCAGCATGCGACGATGTACTTCTTCATTTTTAATCTCTGGTGTTGTGGATATAGCAGTGCACTATGGAGTCCCTCTCCCGCCTAAGACTGATTATATGTCAATGGTGATTGCCTTGGTGGTCGAGGGGTTACTGTTCAATAGCCACGTACATGGCAGGTCGGAGCTCGACATACACATACATATGTTGCTGGTGTATGTCATCTTCAGCACAGCTGTGGTTATGGCACTGGAGGCAAGGTAAGAGGTTGTCCTTTCAACTCTATTCTTCACGCAGAGCTACTATTGTTACTGTTTTAGCTTCCTCTTCTCCTCCCCCTCCTGACCTTCTACTTCTGTCATCGTCTTCTTCTTGTTAACTTGTGACCTTTCTGTCTTGCTTTTGTTTTCGCTAGCTAGTTGGTTGAATAATCAGCTAGCTATTTTCGCTAGTTAGTTTGTTTCAATAAGCCAACACAAAAAATACTAGGCACAATTTATAACCTCGGATATTTCGCTGTGCATGCATGCATGTATGTATTTGTGTATGTATGCATGCGTAACCACATGCATACTTGGCTGATAGAAGAAAGTGTCATCATTATGTGTTGATTTTAATGCAAGAACAGGACACTGGAAGGGAGCAGAAAAATAATTGTGAAAATTCGAAGATAACAAGTCAGAAAAACGGGAATGACTGCAGGCTGCTTGAACTATGTTATTAACAGGATTTATTCCCAACAAACACTTGTTTCCAACACCGGCAGTCTGACATCTATGCGTGTAATCATTGGAACAATCTGAACTGTAAACGTCAAATAAGCTGAATATTAACCAAGAGAAACATGAGGAGAACGGTAATAGAGGCAAAAGCAATCCCAAATCTATGTACAATCACTGACCACAAGGTGGTCATGCTGACCATGAGGATAAACAATGGAAGAAATACTAGAGGTCTACATTCAACCTCAAAAGAAACATACAAAATTAGCAACTTTAAGAATTCTGACCCGCAAGAAGCATACCTTTAAAAAGTTACTGAAGATACCAGGCTAACTAAAACACACCAAATCAGTAGAGACGTATGGGAAATTTTTAAAACAGACGCAATGTTTTGGAAGAAACTATTCACATTTCAGTTGAATTTATTCAGTTTTGTGCTTTGTTTTATGTTGATGTAACTCTGTAGTAACGCACCTGATGAAATATGCCTGGCAATAAATTATGCAATCTATTGTTTGTATCCGCATTATTTAAATTCATTACGGGAAAACATTGTTTTGAATTTTTAAAAGATCAAATTTGAAAGCAACAAAAGAACCATGCGGAATGGTAAGGAGGAGAAGCACAAGACCATTAATAATACTATTGTGAGACGAGGAAGTAAAAAACAGTCATGAAGGAGGAAAAAATGTAAATACCAGGCGCGGGGGAAAAGCACAAATCAAAGTGATCTTGGAGAATAGGAAGCGGCAAGAACGATAGTCAGAAACGCCAAAGAAACATCCTGGCGAAAGGTTGAACGCTGACCAAAAAGAATTCTGTGAAAAACGTTTATAAACAAATGAATGTTATGAGAGGTAGGAACGAACAATTTAACCCAGAAGAAATGATAAATGACAAGACCGGAGTTCTCTTAAATGAACCACAAAAGGGAAGATAGCGTCAAAAATATATATATGTATAATATATATATATCACCCATGCTTTTGTGTATATTATTTAATACACATGTTATGTATATACTTGTAGAAACATGACAGGCTTTACAGATAAAATACAACTGCTGTTTGAAAGATGACTGTCAGGAAGTTTCGTGCCATGTTAAAGTAAAGTTCGTTTACTAGTTCGTTCTTCTTCTTCTTCTTCTCTTCCACCTTGTACCTCAGTGAAGTGTCGGGGGGAGATGTAATGTTCGTTGATGAGCTCTGTCAAGAACACTATTAAGACTGATGTTCATTTCTGTAAGGCTGTTCTTAATGCCATCACTCCATCTTTACCGAGGTCTTTCACTCGCTCTATACCCGTTGTAACGTTTTAGTGTGGCTCGCTGTGGCAGATAGTACCAGGGCATTCTTGTTAGGTGTCCAAACCACTTCATTTGCTGTTCTTTGATGACCTGTAAGACTGGTTTTATTCCTAGCATTCGTCTGATTTCATATTCTGTCTTTCCTTGAAACTCCTGCAGCTCTTCTAAGGCTAGTTCGTTATTACCTTGTTTATATCCTTTTGCTTGCAGATTTAGTCAATCAGCCATTCTAGGCATGGTCAGGGCGTACCTCTCGATGCTCCAGGGATCGTGGTTCTGGGCGGTGGGCATCATTCTGTACGGGCATGAGGAAAGACGATGCCTGGGAGGTCCACAGTGTTATGCAAGCCTCCATCTACTTCAGGTTAGTCTCTGTATGTCGTATTTTGTTTAAAGTGTCGTTTTTTATTTATACGTGTTGTTTTTTTATTTATACAAGTTGTTTTTTATGCGTTTTGTTATTTATTTTTTGTGTTGTTATTTTTGTTTTGTTATTTATTTATGTGTTGTTATTTAATTATATGTTTTGTTATTTACTTATGTGTTATTTAATTACGTTGTTTTTTTATGTGTGGTTATTTTTCTGTGTTGTTATTTTTTTATATAGTGTGCTATTTATTTGTATATTCTGGTATTTATTTATATGTGTTGTTATTTATTTATATGTGTTAGTAGTATTTAAGTGTTATTTTTTTATTTGCGTTATTATTTTTAATGTGTTATTTTTGTTTTGTAATTTATTTTTTGTGTTGCTATTTTTATATTTTTTGTAATTCATTTATGTGTGTTATTTATTTATGTTAGTATTTTGATGATGTTATTTATTTACGTTATTTTTATGTGTTTTTTATTTATGTTGTTACAATATGTGTAGTTATTTTTGTGTGTTATTTTTTTTTTTACTTATGTGCCTTGTTATTCATTTAAATGTGTTGTTATTTGGGTTTTGTTATTTATTTATATGTGTTGTTATTTAGGTACACCAAAGTAACATACTTGCCCATAGCTAAGTACTTTTAATAACTGCTTCATTTGTCACTATGTTTACATAAGTTGTTTCTGGAAACTATTTCAGCTGGCACTGCGCTGCACACCTCATACTCCTGCTGCTAATGAATGGTCTTGTGTACTGGCTCCAGAATCGAAAAGAAAGCAGACTGCAAGAGAATGGTTTAGAAGTTACTAACAAGCTGCAATATGGTGCTAATTTTTCTGACGATGATGTTTAGATTATTCTTCTGGCAATTATTTTTACACATCTCATCTCATTATGATATTTATACAGTTTTTCTCAAGATGATTTTTAGATAACTCTTCTGGTAACTGTTTTTATAGAACTCATTATGATATTTAGATAGTTTTCTGACTAAGTGTACTTAGATAACTCTTCTGGTAACTGATTTTTATAGAACTCATTATGATATTTAGACAGTATTCTGACGATGATATTTAGATAACTCTTCTGGTAACTATTTTTACCGAATATATCTCATTTTATTATTAAAACAGTTTTTCTAATCATGACATTTAGATAACTTTCTCATGGTGATGTTTAGATAACTGATAATAATGTTTAGATGATTTTTATGATGATGGCATTTTGATTTCATTTCTGTTAATCATGTTTCAAATGATGATGATGATGGTTATGACCAGAACCATGCTGTTCTATGATACAAAGAGGTGACCGCATCAGGCAGCGCCTGATGGGGCGGCATAAGCAGCTGAATCAAAATACACTTTGAACTTTAAAATGGTGAGAAGCATTTCCAAGACTTGCATTATATTGCAAAAATCTACCGCACCATTATGCTTATGATAATAATTTTCAGTTAGATGATGTTTAAAATGCCACAAAGGTATATAAGTCTGTGGCTCAACCTACATGCAATTATAGCGATAATAATGTTAAATAATACTACACTAAGTTTTCTCAATTGCAATACATACACTGATTCATACTGACTGACAGAAATTTACATAAATCAATGTTGACTGACAATAAATCCACATATTCACATATCTGCATTAACTTCGTAGATTTGTATCAATTGCCAATACATACACAGATTCACATAAATGAATGAATGAAGTTCAACCCCATGAGGACAACAAAGTGCCACAATTCGGTGAGAATCACCCAGGTGCAAGTCCCAGAAATCCCGTTCAACTGTTAGGTTATAATAGGGCCCCAGACATCAGCCGGGGTGGGGCTTTAAATAACAAACAATTGCGTCCCATGTTGGGACAGCAACAACTACAGAATCACATTAATTTTTAAGACGTGCAAATTCATTTTTATTGGCAACATCATTACATAAAATAACATAACCCTTAAGTTGTTGAGGTCGTGGAGATGTATTGATGGAAGCACTAGCACATACAATCCCCCATCTTTCTCTGTCTTCCGCTTGAGGAATAAGTGTATGATAACTTAGTCCTGTCCAATTTTTTGATGTTGTCATTTTACGTTCTTCTTTTCTCTCCCCCTCTTTGACTACTCTACAATGTTCATAGAAGCAAAGTCGTTGCATTCAAATCACATCTTACCATGTGCCCTAAACCAAGCTAGCTTGTGACGTTTCACCACTGCCAAGAGAGGCTTCTGATGTCCCGCAAATGTGTCTATTTTGTCTCTGACATATTTATTAGCTGTGTGTTCTAAAAAAAACTAATTCGTAAAATGTGTCTATAGCATTTTCATTCGAAAGCCTGAATCCTCCTTTCCATTTACACAGTGAGAATCCAACTATCACATCCATATAAGAAAAGAGACAACATATACTTAGATTCAAATTAATACATACATTACTATTTGATTAGTAATAAATCCATTGGCATATGTTGTTCTGCTATACCGTCCACTCGAACCCAAAGAACCTTCACAGCGTCTGCTGTATCAAGATGTAGCTGCATACCCAAAGGAGAGGCAGCAGCAAAAGTACTAGCTTGCTAATGGCCCTGCACGGACATAATCATTGACAGATAAAAAGTGTAATGTAGATGTTCTGGCAGAAATTACTCCGAAAGAGAACTAATAATTACCTGCACCAGATGTTGCTAATCTACATTCACTGGATACATTCCAAAAGGGGAAAACTTGAGTCCCTCGTAACAACTGGAAAGTTAAAGAGCAAAAGAGGACAAGAAGGGTCGGGAATAGAAGAAATACACAGATTCTCGTTGGATTGGCGACAGAAAGAGCGGTACCTGGGAATTCGAACATGAACTGTTCCGAGACGGTGTTTGAATTCCAAATTGTTCGCTTCCAAGGTGAAGGTTATAATAGGATTTTAAGTGGGAAGATAAAATCGAGAGATGGGAGAACAAGAGTCTGCGAGAGTGTACAACCAGGTCGATGGGCAGAGCTTTGGAGAGCAAGTGTAGCCACCTTCCACGTTGGAGATAACGCCTATTTGACTTGTTTATATATTTTTTTTTTTTAAACTTTTCGTTAGCTTTCTCTGTAGGTTACCATCCCATAATTGTGATGCCCTGTTTGGAGTGCTGAATGTTTTGGAGTGATAAAGCTGAACTAGAAACTGACATCCCTACACTTAAGACATTTCCACATCTTATTACCTCAAAAGCCAAAGAAGAGTCATTATGCTACCAGTACTGGCTGCGACCCGATTTAAGTCCTCCTGTGTTTCTCTAGGTAGACATACGTTGTTCTGCTATACCCTTTCACAGCGTCTGCTGTATCAAGATGTAGCTTCCCACCCAAAGGAGCGGCAGCAGGAAAAGTACCAGCTTGCTCATGGCCCGGTACACCTGAATATTCTTCCATAAAATCTCGTTGATAAGCTCCTGGAGTGAGTCTTATAAGATGCTGCAAGCCACTCTATGAGTTTAACAGTAGTTTCTATTTTAACTGCGAATACGGATTGAAGCAAGTGAAAATGGCGCCCAGCACATTACCTGAACACTCTAAGAAGCAGGGCATGTAAATCAAAAATAACACTGCTACAATGACACAAGAAGGAAATGCAAGTATGAAAGTCGTGTGCATAATTAATGCCATAATAACTGTCGACAGTGTAAGATAGTTCTGTTTTAGCTATTTTTAAATAGATTACTTAATGATAAATTACATGTGTTGTGTTTGACTCGTGTGCATACTGCATATGATTCTTTTTTTTTTCTTCTGTCCTTTATCCGCCAACCAAAACACAAAACGGCTTTCATCACTGAAGTACAAACAGGTCCATAGATGCTTAGATCTGTTTCATAACAGATCCACCAATGTAAAGCGACAAGCTATGTCAGTTAAGTGTTGAATGTCATAGCCTAACGCGTGGGGACTCAGGGTGAGGGTGTCACTCTGGTTGGGGAGGGGGTATAGACTCACTGCCGCCTAACAAGCATGCCGTAAAGGGCGAAAATTGATTGTTGAAATTGCATGTGTTGGGTCAAAAGGCACCAGATATTGCAGCCTGGCTGCAAACCACAACACACCGTATAAATGCCAAGAGACAGTGATGGTGTATTTGGTAACAGACAGTGATGGTGTATTTGGCAAGAGACAGTGATGGTGTATTTGGCAAGAGACAGTGATGGTGTATTTGGCAAGAGACAGTGATGGTGTATTTGGTAAGAGACAGTGATGGTGTATTTGGTAAGAGACAGTGATGGTGTATTTGGCAAGAGACAGTGATGGTGCATCTAGCAAGAGACAGTGATGGTGTATTTGGCAAGAGACAGTGATGGTGTATTTGGCAAGAGACAGTGATGGTGTATTTGGCAAGAGACAGTGATGGTGCATCTAGCAAGAGACAGTGATGGTGTATTTGGCAAGAGACAGTGATGGTGCCTCTGCTCTGTTAACAGACAGTGATGGTGTATTTGGCAAGAGACAGTGATGGTGCCTTTGGTAACAGACAGTGATGGTGCCTCTATCAAGAGACAGTGATGGTGCATCTGAAAAAAGACAGTGAGGGTGCATGTGGCAAGAGACAGTGATGGTGCATCTGGCAAGAGACAGTGATGGTGCATCTGGCAAGAGACAGTGATGGTGCATCTGGCAAGAGACAGTGAGGGTGCATGTGGCAAGAGACAGTGATGGTGCATCTGGCAAGAGATAGTGATTGTGCATCTGGCAAAACAGTGATGGTGCATCTGGCAAAACAGTGATGGTGCATGTGGCAAGAGACAGTGATGGTGCGTGTGGAAAGACAATAAGCCAGTTATGAACTGGTTATACCACAAGCCAACTATCAACTGGTTACTTTACAGGCCAGCTGTGAACCTGTTACATAACAAGCCAGTAGTTAACATGTTAAATTACAACAAGCCAGTTCTTAACATTACTTTAATTAACAAAGTCAATCATCTTCTGACCCCCCCCCCCCCCACCTTTTTTTTTTCCACTAGCCCATGACATTGTCAGAAGTAAATGGAATTCACAGTATTCTAGCCAACACATATGGTCAGAGGCCTTTGGAAGCAAGTAGTGAGCAATGCCAAGGCACAAATCAATCATTATGGTCTGGGGAGAATGATACAGCTAGGAGTGATAAAGGGATGTGGTCGGACACTCTACACTGGCATCATAGGAGCTGGAACTCATGAGCTGGCTGCTGAAGATGAGGATGAGGCAATTATTGGAATGCCCCTAGTGCTGTGATGTCAGTTCTTAGCTCAACACTCAACAAACTCTAAAACAAATATCCAACAACAAAACAGAAAGAACAAAATAATTCACAAGGAAACTATCTTCCATTTAATATACTAATAATACCATCATCTGTCAACTCTAATCAGAACACTGACAAGTTATCTAATAAGGTAGAACATGGTGGCAAACAAAACTAGTTATCTGGTAGCCTTGGTTCTGAATCAAACAGGAATCTAGTATCCCACGAGACACCACATACTTCTCCAGGTAATAAGACATTTTCACAAACAAACAAAAGTAAATTTGGACATATCTAAACGTGAGAACTATGTCAATCAAAATCCCCCCCACAAATTTAATTATTTCCTCGCTGTAAGAACAACTGTTACCATAGCTCTGCTCCAGTTTATGTTGACCACTATCATCATGTGTATTGCCAGTCAGCGAATACATTCATGTTGATCCCTATCATCATGTTTATTGCCAGACAGCAAACACATTCATGTCTTTCTACACATACAGATCCTGGTTTTTCATGTGCCAGAGACTTGCCCTTGATGCCACTCCTCTATGACACCATTGTATCATTTCTCCTAGTCTGCCTTGGCCTCTTCTTCCACTTATCCTTACATTCCCATAATGACTTTCTTTATCACATTCTTATAGGATACTGTTTGACTGAATAGAAAATGCCAAATTATCATTTGATAAGAAATAGTGATAAGTGTAGGCAGTCGTGTTTCAACCTCACACAATCATGATCAGGTCAGTGCGCTTGTCTCGCCTCCCCCCCACCCCCCATTTGTATGGCCAAGCCTTCGTGGAAATTATCTCTTTGCCTTCCCCTATCTCTTTTACCATAAATCTTAACAGTTGTAACCAAGTTCTCGAGTCCATGCCTTCCCAATAAAAGGTCTGTTACAGTTATGTATAATATTCTTGATATTTTTCTTTTTAACAGATAATGTGTGGCTGGCTGTCTAAGGTTGTCAAGTTATTTATCTCAGAAGCCAGTCCACATTTTCCAGCTTTATTTGAAAAACACACAAACAAAAGTAAATGAATTTCCAAATCGAGAAATCAGATAATTTGGGTGTGTATATTTTAAAGAAATAGTAATAATAATTATGTAGCCTCAGCAAAGGACTAATAGTAGAATTTCTCTCTGCGATCTTTGTACTTGACCTCTCCATTTCTTAAGCGTCCTTCCAGCTCTTTCTGTGGGGAAAAAACAGGAAGAAAAATGATTTAAAACACAAAGCAGACAATATATTTATATATATATTTTTTAAATATATTAATAATAATTATGTAGCCACAGCAAAGGGCTAAAAGAAGAATTGATCTCTGTGATTTCTGTTCTTGACCTCTCCATTTCTCAAGCGTACTTCTTGCTCTCTTCTTCTTCTTTCCTCTACTCCTGGAATGCCTCGCGCCATCAGGTCAAGGAAGAGATCTCTGGAACAGGCCCTTCTGTTCCCTTCGCATAAAGTACTTTTCAGTGTCTCTGATGTTTCTACAGTCCATGTTCTGCGCAGTCGACCTCTGGCTGTTACTGCTATATCTGTATAACATTGCTCTCTGTGGTGCCCTGTCTGATATCAATCTTATTACATGGCCAAACCATTTGATTTGTAGTTTACCCATAAGTTCAGCATTGGTTCTGTGCCGACTCTCCTCCTGATATCACCGTTCCTAAGTCGGTCTTTCCTCTTTACACCTAGCATAGTACGTAAACATTTCATTTCTGTTGTGACTATTTTCTGTCTTCTGAAATCAAGTGTCCATGATTGACATTGACAGCATAGCATTGGTAAGAATACAGTGTTGCTCTCTCTGTGGGAAGATAACAGGAAGAAATAAAAGTTGCTGTGGTAAAGTCATTAATAGCCCATTCTGCAGACATAAATGTCTGGAGCTCCCAAATGTGACCGTAATATCCATATCGATCAATATTTCAGACAAGAATTTTTCGATTTCACTTTTTTCAATGGTATGAACTAAACATTTAATTAGTCTTGCCCTTTTGGTTCTGATGGTGGATTTTTTCTTTCAGCACAGGTCAGTTCTTCTTCTTCTTTTGCATTTGCCTGGAGAAGATGGCTGGCACATACTGTTGTGGTTCACAGATAGTTTGCAATATACCCACCTTTCAGCCCAACAAATGATTTCAGCAAACCCTTCACTAGTCACTGTCTACAAACATGCTTGTTAAGATGCAGTGCTTTATTATTCCCCCCCAGCCCAACAGGGTCTCGGAACACACACAAAGAGAGACCAGTCAGAGATAACTAGAAGGGTTTCAGTTGTTTAGCAGATGATACTACTGTATGGGGGGGAACAAACGCAGCACTGCAGTCTAGTCAACCCTCAGAAATGAGAGGATCATAACTGAAGAACAATGTCTGTTGACAGAACAACCTAGATTCATCCTCATCATCTTGCTGTGTCATATAGGGCTCAGTCTGTCTATTCAGTTGTGTCCTGAGCAATGTTTTTTATATGATGGATGGAATCTAGTGCAGCAGCTTTGGTCGCTCTGACTACATGTCTTAGGGATTTTCTTGTATGTCCTCATTTAACCAAGATCATCTCAAAACAAACATGGCCTTAGAGACAACGTATAGACAGTCATTCTAACGAGGAGATGAGATATCAAATGACAGAACTCCCCGTGTGGGTTCCGGGGCCTCATTGTTGAGAAAACAAGAATAGACCCACCGCCTCCCCAACAAGCATATTGTAGGAGTCGACTAATTGGGAGCTTGATTTGAAATCAGAGTGAATCTGTCCAAGTGGCAAGGAACAACCAACTGCACACAAATAAGCCAGTAAAATGAATATATAGAAAAACACTACACTGGTTACAACCTGGTAACAGTGAGACGATAAAAGAAGAAAAGAATGGATGTACAGGCAAAACTCAGGCCCTAGCACAAAGCCAAAATCCAGACAGATAAACAACCTAGACTTTCCACCATAGCTTACAGTTGGTGAACAAAGAGAAAAAAGAAGAAGAAGAAGAAGAAGAAGAAGAAGAAGAAGAAGAAGAAGAAGAAGAAGAAGAAGAAGAAGAAATTACAAAACTGTTGAAAATCTAATCATGTTTCATGTACTGAATAAATATCTTAAACCTCAACAAATGTATTGTCAAGTTGCAGACAACACCTCAGACCTTATTATCACCTCTTGGCAATAATATGGGGTCTCATAAAAAACCCTGTGGTTTCAGTGCAGGGACATTCTAAAATTGTTATCAGATTTGCTTTATGTGTGTCCTATCCAATGTCAGCACATTTTCCTCAACTCTTGATTCATTTGGATTTAGCTGTCTCTCAATGCTGAATTAAGAATCAACATCACAGCCCTCAGGACACCGCCATAAGCGCTCCATCCCCATCTTCAGCAGCAAGCAAAGAGTTCCAGTTCTGATGGTACCAGTAACTGTCTGACTGTATACTCATTTCGCCCTTCCTTTGAGTTTTAGCACCGGCCAGATCCCCTCGTAACTCCCCGCAGTGCCATTCTTCTCAGATTGTATTGACCTATTAGTGCACTGTTCACTCGCTCCCAAAGGGCCTTCACAACATCTAGCTTGTCATACATCTATTTACCACCAAGTGCTGTAGAGCCAGCCAGCTTATATTAGGGCTGTACTGAATATTCACTGCGTATTTGCTTCGGGGCCGATAGTGGACGTAATAATTATTCGGTATTCGGCCGAATACTTGCTGTTGCCTAAGTCTGTCATAGAGGGGGAAACTGAGACCCGTTTGCGTGGTAGAGCAGCTGGCAAGGTCTTTGCCTGCTGACTCGACCGAGGCATTACAGCAGAGGTTCTCAAACTGGATGCGTATGCCAGGGGTACCGTGGCGAAAATCAAGAAAAGACGGCTATAAATTGTGACATTATTAAAAAAGTCATGAAAATACTTAAAAGTTAAAATTTAAATTGTCTTTCCTCTCCACTGCCGAAAATTTTTTTTTTCCTTGTTTCATGCTCAAAGTGTATCATACTGCATAAAATGCCAACCACAGCGTGCTAAAAATTGTATTGGTGTTTATCTCGAGGTGCGACCGATCCTCCATCTGTATTTGTGAAGGTGCAGCGGATACGTAAGGTTGTGATTACATTTTGGCTGAAATTTTAAAGTAAAAAGTGTGGTCTGTACAATAGTAACTGTTAGCCTCATCAAGCAAGCACTTATATTTAAAGGCAATGTGTTGTGAGTCCTGGACAATATTTAGACAATCTAAACAATTTCTTGAGGCCTCAGAGATGTGGTTTAACAGAACAATGCTTAAAATATCTTGGACAGCCAAAAAAAAAGCAACCAAGAGGTTATAAAAAAGGTGGGAGCCCTAGGAGAACTAATCACAGACACCAGAAGGAGACAGTCATCATTTTTCGGCCATGTTATGAGAAGAGGGAAAATGGAATATGTGGTGACCACTGGAAAGATCTGTGGAAGGAGGGATAGAGCAAGACGACTGAAGATTCTTGACAGTCTTGTTGCATGGCATGGAGGTGTGTCAGCATACGAACTAATACATGCTGCAGAAGATCGCAGATTGGGGCGAGGCATAATCGCCCACACCAGTCGGCAAGGCACCTGATGGTGATGATACACTATTCATATTTGTATTCGGCCGAATAGTTGGTCCCGCTATTCATATTCGGCCGAATAGTGAAAATCACTGCTCATTTCCCAACACACCAGCATGATCTGAAGAAAATATTCAAAAGATGCTAACTAACCGGGACCTCTGAAGTTATGCTTGCCACTGTGCAAGGAGCATGCCTGTCTCCATCTTTTTCAACATGCTCTGTGAGTCATTTACAATCACGGCATGTGTGTACAGCCGATTCTTAAGCCAGAGGAAGGCAGCAGTGATTGCCTCCACCTCCATTCTCAAACTAGACGTGATATTATATGACAGACTTTGTGGCACTAAGCTATGTCTACTAGGCTTTGCTAAAAACTCCCATGTACTTCGTCTGCCCCTCAATACAGGGGCATCTGTATAGATAATCTCATCATTTGTCTCATTGTGTTTTCAGCTTGCTTCCTATTTTCAGTCTGTGTCCCTTAGCTCTACCCAGGGCCTAATGCAGGAGGTACTTCTTGTCTGCAGCTACTCTGAGATATGACTTTGCTTGCAGAACTTTAAGCCTATCTGCAGTAGTAGGCAGTGAAAGTATTTATCGCATACATACTACCGGGGTGTCTCTTCTTGTACATCCCTGAATTACCCGCATGGCTTTGTTCTGTATGCGTTCAAGTTTTATCAGCTGGCTCTTTGATATGGTAAGCATTCCAAGTCCATAATCTATCACTGACAGAATCACATACGGAACATTGTGAACAGCATTCTTTGTTCCTTATCCATTGCTGCCACAATCTTGAGAGCACTAAGACCTTTTTGGCATTTCACCGCAACTGCTTCCACACGATCCCTAAAGAATAGGCTTCTACCAAAAATGATACCCAAGTACCTCAGTTTGCTTTCTCCTTTGATGTTACTGTTATTAAATGTGATGCTTGGAACATTAGCTCTTACAATTCTATTGTCCAGAGAGCATCACAAAACAGCCTCTTTTTTTTTTTTTGAGCTGACAACAGCATCCACTTCTGTACACCAGTCAGTCACTCTGTCTACAGTTGCTTGTAGCTCTTGGGCTATCCGTTGCCTATCACTCCCCTGCTTTACGCAAGAACACCATCTGCAGATGTCAATATCCTTCCAACACCTGGTGCTTCAAGTTCTGCAATCTTGTATACACATTAAAGAGCACTGGTGAAATTGCAGAATTCTGGGGTAGTCCTGCAGCGATATTACATTGTTTTGAGGTCCATGTACCCAGGCGAAGGGAAACCATACGTGAATGCAGGATAGCTGCTATCCAGTTCACAAGCCACAGACAAACCTTCCTTCTCCATGAGCATAGATATCAAAATATGATATCAAAATATAATATCTGACTCAGTTGTCTCTCAAAACCTTACATAAGTCATTTTGGCATATTATTTCTTTGCTTTCACTCCGTGAAAGCACCAAATAAATGTTTCTAATTTATTAGTTATTGTTTTTGTTGTTTTTCATGTTTTAGTTCAATACAACAATGCCGAACTGACATTCAAAGTATACACTTACCTTGATTTTTGTAGTGTCATATGTAAGATATATGGCAGGCACAAAAAACAAGGCGAAAGCTATAAGCATGGACTTATGGGTTCCCTTGAAATACTCATACTGTGTAGCTTTCAGTGAAATGAACTTTTGCACAGCAGGGTCAAACTGCAATGAATAAGATAAGATTTTTTTTTAATAAACTGTTTTCACTGTGGAAAAAAACAGGAATGGTTACCGTTCATTCATATCAGGGAAATATTAGAGTAGATATGAGGGTTTTATAGTGGAGATGGTCATTTTATGGAGAGGAGATGATGTTAAAGAGGAGATAATGTTAAAGAGAAGATAATGTTAAAGAGGAGATAATGTTAAAGCGGAGATAATGTTTAAGAGGAGATAATGTTAGAGAGGAGATAATGTTTAAGATGAGATAATGTTTAAGAGGAGATAATGTTAAAGAGGAGATAATGTTAAAGAGGAGATAATGTTAAAGAGGAGATAATGTTAAAGAGGAGATAATGTTTAAGAGGAGATAATGTTTAAGATGAGATAATGTTTAAGAGGAGATAATGTTTAAGAGGAGATAATGTTAAAGAGGAGATAATGTTTAAGAGGAGATAATGTTAGAGAGGAGATAATGTTTAAGAAGAGATAATGTTAAAGAGGAGATAATGTTAAAGAGGAGATAATGTTAAAGAGGAGATAATGTAAAGGAGGAGATAATGTTTAAGAGGAGATAATGTTAAAGAGGAGATAATGTTAAAGAGGAGATAATGTTAAAGAGGAGATAATGTTAAAGAGGAGATAATGTTAAAGAGGAGATATTTTATCCCATATGGTTCAGCCTCTCTCTGAAAAATGGCCAGCTATCTGCAGAGAGTGGCTCAAAAGCATGAATACTGTAGCTCTGACGATGATCCCCAGGGGTCTCTGTAAAAATTAAACACATTAACTGAACAGGGCTGGCGTAAAACATCCCATCAACCTTCAGAGCATGAGACAAACATCTTGGCCATTTCACTAGGGGGACCCCCAGATTTAAGAAAACTTACCTAATTGCCTTTTATTATTTATGGCTTGCTTGTTAGGGAGCAGTATGTGGATTCCTCTCTTCCTCCAAACTGAACCCACATGGGGACATTTTACAGTGAAGTTGAGTTTTGCAGAAGAGGTTCCATTGTTTGGTTGCTCTTCCATATAGACATTCATCTATTTGTCCAATGTGAATTTGGTTCAACATGTGACATCTGAATTTGCTAAGGTCTATTCTCAGTCTGAAGGTTGTTCTAATGTTACCTGATCTCTTGTAACGAGCAGAACAGACGAGATATTGTTTTCTTCATTTAATGGGTGATGTGCTCAAAATGATGCCTGCTATCTTAAGACTTAACTTTAGAGAATATTTAGTACATATTTTAGCCCAAATCCAACTGGAAACCAAGCATATTTTCAAAACACTGACCCAAAAGAGATCATTCGAACCTGTGATCACTAGTTGTTGACAGGCAAACTCAAACAAAGTGCTAGCCACTGAGCGCTATATAGTCATCTTAACAGCTGCACTATAAAAAAAAAACTCAGCAGTTTGATATGTAAAAGAATGATAAGAATGAATGAAAAGATAAGGTAAGTGTAAAAAGAGAAGTTATTTAATTAACCCTGTTCTCACCAAATAACCGCCGTGTGCCCCCTTCCATGGGTTTGTAAACTGTTTCGTCCATTTGGCTTTTAATTCTTGTCTCATTTTCGCGCGTTCCCTCACTGCACGCAGCTCTTCAGCTGACACATCGTATAGCTTCCAGGGATCCCACAACTTCTTGTTATCAGCCATTTCTGTATTTACAGACCAAACTACAAACCGTCCTCAAGAAAATACACTATAAACTTGTCAGTGTCACCTTTGCGGACACTGTACCGGAAGTTGTTATTTCTAGACTTCTTAAATAAGGCAGGGATAACTATGGTCCATTCATCGCCAACATCAATCTAACACTTCTGTCGTGAAGCGTTGTGGGCAGGAATAGTTCGCGATCCATTGCTAGATGGACAGGAATTTATTATGTCATTCCATGTTGATATACATCCTCTTTATTGTTAATAATCCATATTCTCATAGGGCGACCTCTTGATTTTATTTCGGATTTTTTTTTTATGTTTAGCGTCTGCGATCGGCATTCTTACTAGATGACCAGAGACCAAACCATTTAATCTTGTTACTCGATGAATTTGCTGCATGGTGTTCTTCTAACAGTCTGACTATAAATACCATTTCTAACTGTGTCTAGAATGATTAAGCTAGCGGTTTTCCTCGGGTATCTCATTTCACAGGTGTTAATGTTACGTAGGTTAGCCTTTGATAATGTCCAGGTCTGGCAATGCTAGCATAGGTGCTTCATCCTGGAGTTCCCTTGAACTCCCCCTCCCCTACCGGCTTAAACACTTGGCTTCGTCATGATCTGAACCCACGACTGTCCTATGCGCAGGCGAGCGTCTAGCCGCTACATCACGGCGACTACTTGGTAGCACATTACTGGTATGGATCACGGCCTCCTATAGACTTTAAATCTTGAGTATATCGTAGTATGAATATGCTTTATAATCTGCTTCTTGGCGCTCAGACTTATGTTTGGATGACTTAATAACGGTGTCAGTTGGTATATAAGTGCATTGGCTTGTTGGAATCGTGTTTCTATTTCCCGACCTATGTTCCCATTCTCCAAGAATATACTTCTTAGACATTTCAATTCTTTAACCTGCTTCAGCCAAGTACAGGACTATGAATTCTACTGACCTCCATTACTTCAGTTTTAGTCGTATTTACTTTCATAGTATATTTTTTTCATGTTTCAACTTGGCCTGGACAAATAGTCTCACAGTCTACTCCCCATTCCACCTATTATTGAACAGGCACTGATTGTCTGCAGATAGTAACGCGTTTATATGTTATTTTACGAAAGGCAGAAACAAATTGGATTACTGTTATAGTTTCTGTCATTTCTTTCTCTCTTTCTTTCTTTTCTTTTCATTCTTTCTTTCTTTAACTTCTTTCTTTCTTTTCTTTTTTTTTCCTTTTCTGCCTGTCTTTCTTTCTTTCTTGTATTTTTTCCCGGAACATTTAAATCGGTGCTAACCGGAGATTAATGCATTTTAATGACACATGGGCATCCCTGTCGGGACCAACATGTTTTCCGTGTAACTGAGTGTTTGTCTAAAAAGACTAAAGCTAATTCGTGTTAATGAGGTTTTACTGTACTTGGGAGCTGAGGTATTCAAAGTCTGTGACAGTTTCTGTGTATTCATTGCTGGTTTTACACACAAGCACAGACACCGCATGCAACACACTCACACAGGCATCTAGATGTTTTCTTCTTCTTCTGCGTTCATCCGAAGATGCAATTGCGTTGTGACAGTTTACAGCATGGCTGCGATATTTACACCTTTCGGCCAACACATTCGACTTCTGCGGGCATTTGTTGACCGGGTTAGCCTTCCCGGTTAGTTTCTGGGGGACATAGCAGTCTCATTGTTGTGTGGTCATCTTTATTTCCCAGGTCACAGTGGTGCCCAAATCAGGCTCATCCAGAGAGGCCACGTAATGCTGATCAGCCCCCAAGAGAAGGCAGGGGCAGAACATGAGCATTCCCCGCCATCCAAGGAGGCTTCCACAAATGCAGAGCTAATACATGGTGCTCTGGTACTGGGCTTACCCAAGGAATCGTCGTGTACTGCTCATGACTGTTTAACCTCACTTCCATGTATTGAACATGTCATACATAATGGGCTATCTCTTTTGTAGCCAACAGTATGCAGCCTGCAGACCTGGGATTTCATTTACCTACACCACAAAATGAGTACTCTGCTTCTTTTGCATGTTAGACTTTTACTGCAGTGGACTTCCTCATCCACTATAGTTTCACGTGGTTTACGAGCTCCCCATCTCTAGAGACTATCAGCTCAGAGAATTCCGGACAGTTGTATTCTTCTAATACCTTCAGATGTCAGTGTGGATATATTTAAAGAAATCAACTTCCGGTTAAAATGGACGCTAGACAGAGGCGCTGTTTGGAGCGGAGGCAAATTTTTTGCTTCTGCCGGACGGTGGCCGAAGTATTTTTGCTCCATTTGTAGACTGGATATAGTTTCGTCGCCCAGCTTCTGAGTTGAATGCATGGCGTGACCCTGTGAGCTGCGGATTGCATTTGGAATGTTTTTTCGACTGTGACCAACGTGGTGTGAATTGTAGATTCAGAAAATGGCGCGATGCCGGTCGTGCAATGCTGGCGGGACCCGTATTAAAATTGATCGCCCGGGCAACTGCTGATCTGTTGGCGACAAGTTCTGCTATCATCAATGATGAACTACATTTCTAATGTTGGACTGTTTGTGTTAGCACTTCGGATGGCTACCATATGCGTTAATGCGAGTGTATGCTAGATATGCTGAGACAGCAGTCTGTCAATCTTTCCACAAGGGACTGTGATAAACATTCTGGGTGTTTTTCGCTGGCACAGGAGCAGAGCAAAGATGGGGCGACCCGTTTGCTATGAAGCTGAAACTCAGACTACCAGACTACCAGACAAAGAAATCAGCAGTTAACTTGAGGTTGTTGACATCTCCACACAGCTTATCTTCAAAAGTTGGGGGTGTTAGCCAGAATAATTTTCTTTGTTCTGATCTAGATGTTTAACTCTTTGCCTTCAGTTTGCTCTCTTCACATCGTCTAGCCAGTCGTTTCTGAGTTCTCTAGCCCATATCTTTACAAAGTATGTCCGAAAAATACTGTCTACCATAGGTTGAAGTCGGCTTATTCTAAACATCAATGCAGAGGCTTGACGTAACTTCAAACAGAATAATGGAACCCTTATGGTAATCTCCGGAGTGCTGTGATGCCAGTTCTTAGATCAACACTCCCTGAGAGAGGATAAGGAGCCCACATACCTCGGCGTAACGTTTGATGATAGATTAACATGGAGAAAACACATCAACAAGGCAGCAACCAAAGCCAGAAGGAGGGTAGCCATTCTGAGAAAACTAAGTGGAACCACATGGGGTGCTAGCGGGAAAATACTTAGAAAAGTTTACCAACAAAGTGTTCGACCACATCTTGAATACGGATCAACAGCATGGAGTTCGGCATCAAAAACCACATTGCAAGAATTAGACAAAGTGCAAAATCAAGCACTCAGAGTTACCACAGGCAGTATGAAATCAACACCTATAGCTGTGATGGAGAAAATGGGGATGACCCAAGCACTGAGTGAACGCAGAGACACCAAGATGCTTTTACAAGCAGAAAAGTTTCTTAGTATGCCCAGTCACCCTATGAATGAAAGATTCAAAAATTTAGCTTTAGGACGACTAAAGAGTAGTTTTATCCACCAGGCCAAACGGCTCGGCAGACAAACCACTGATTTACCTGCAACTGATAGATCCTTAAATGCTGTCCCAGAACGGACCCCCTGGAGAGAGGAGTATAAGTTTCCAATACACATCAAGACTGGAGTGAAAGGGGTATTTGACAAGGAAGAACAAAACAGTGTGCAGCGCAAAACAGCCACCCTCAGTCTACTTGATGATGAATACCCACAGAACCTTTGGGTCCGTGTTTACACAGATGGGTCAGCAGAAAGCGCAGTCAGAAACGGAGGTGCAGGAGTGTACATTGAGTATCCTAATAATACCAGGGATACAGCCAAATTACCAACGGGAAAGCACTGTCACAACTATGATGCAGAAGTTCAAGCCATCAAGATAGCAGTAGAGAAACTACTAAATACAGGGTATTTTTCACAACCAGTGGTATTCCTGACAGATGCAAAAGCAGTACTTCAGTCACTCCAGTCTGGAAAATTACCAAGCATACGGACACTATTATCCGAACTAGGCAACCGCTGTAAATTAGTAATGCAGTGGATACCTTCCCACTGTGGAGTTCCGGAAACGAAAGAGCTGATAAACTAGCTAAGGAAGGTGCAACTGAAGAACAACCTGACATACCAGTCTCTTATCAACAGAAGAAGAGAATGATCAAATCAATCAGAATGCCACAGAAAACTGGCACAAGATGATTACCATATTATGGACAGACCAGAGCAAGTCATTATCCTTCGCCTTAGAACAGGGCACAATCGACTTCGCTCCCACATGTACAACAAATTTAAGATTGGCCAATCAGCCATGTGTACTTGTGGACTGGCACCCGAAACAACAGATCACATCCTTCAAGACTGTCCCAGATTCAACGCTTTCAGGCAAAACCTTTGGCCAAAAGAGACACTTGTGGAGGTCAAACTTTACGGGCCGCTTAGTGAATTACAAAAGACAGTGAAATTCATACTAGAGACGGCTTTGCAGATATAGACAATTTATTTCATGCGAACGAAAGAAGAAGAAGAAGAAGATCAACACTCAACAAAATAAAATACTGCAATCAGATTATTTCCAAACGAGGAGGCACAATAGAAATCTAAATCGGACACAACAACCTAACTTTTGAAACGTACCAGCACATGAAATCAGTGAGCCAATCAATCTATCTTCGCTCAAGCTCCCGAACCAGCGCAGCAGCTAAGCCACGAACGGTTACATCACGCCGATGGGTTTGACGACCTGATCCTAGGGCGACTGGCGAGACCAGAGGGCAGAAAGCTTAGAGTCTCTTTTCGGGTCGCACCAGGCATTTCATAACTTTCGCGAACCTGCCAGATTTATTTCGCAAGTGTAGCCAAATCAAAATTATTAATGGGCTTAAGTGATTTGTCACTCTGTTACACTAGAGAGAGTTAAAAACGAAAAGTAGAAGAGTTCGAGAGGTGTGCAGCAGATGCAAAG